TGTAATGTCAGACGACATGAGTCCTGGTTGCAGGTTGAGTGTTTTAGTCTTTAACAGGTCGTTGGTGGCTTCTATAAGTTGTATGTAAATGAAACTATAACCACAACTTGACAGATTGTTAATTGGCTGTCTGTTAATACTGGATACAGGATCTATTGAACAAATCTCCCTTTACCCCCGGGGGTACATCATTAAAGACTCCGTGATAACCACAATTATTTTCTGCCAGAGGACTTCGGCCAGACTTTCTAAGTCTGCTAATATCTCAACATATCTCTACATATATCTGTATTTCACACCTTTCATTAAAAGATGTTTTTTGTTTGTTTCTGTCTTTGCCTTCACCGTCAAATTCTAAATCAAAATATATTAGTAATATTTGAACAACATAAACAGTGAGTCTTAGTCGGCTGCTGTCATGCTATCAAAACCTAACAGTGCTGAAAAAATTTAAAAACACACTTTCTGGACAGCTGTAATTACCTGCAATGTCCATCTTTCTGCGTAGTATTAAATAAAACTTCCTTCTTCTTCCTGATTAGTATATAAATGGTTTCTGTGTAATTTGGTAAATGTCTGTGCGAATACTGGTCGGAAGGCTACGTTTTGTCCCTAGCCAAAAACAATCCTGGTCGGATGCCAAAAACCTGCATGGTGATGTTATTTTCACGTCAATTTTTGGTCCTTCAGATCCTATCTGAAAACCAGGAAATATGATATATCTTTGTTTTTGTTTTTTAATACAACTAAATGTTATTGACAGTTTATTTTGTCCAGTTTTGAAATGGTTGTGATTAAGCGGCCACACTTCATGTATCAATGTAAGATTGGGATTACTCGACACCCACTTTTTAAAAAATGTAAAAACAGGTTATTGCTATTTATGTATATTGACATGTAAAACATATTCCTATCTCATCGCTTCAAGCCCGTGGTTTTTGTAAGAGCCAAAAATCTTTATTTAAGCTGTCTTTGACTGCACGCGAGAGAAAGGCTTTTTGCCCAGAAAGTCAGGTGAACTGTCAAACAGCGGTCATTCATTGTCTCAATATTTTCTGGGAATGCTCTCAAAATGGTTCCTTTCACTTTACACATTTAACCCTAACCCCTTTATATTCCTGATTCTTGTTGCTGTGTTTTTAACTGTACTGTTATTTTTTTTCTTCCTCTTAACCTCTAAACTACCTCAGCGGATGGTGACCCCCACTTTGTGGTGGAGTTCCCGCTCAGTAAACTGACCGTGTGCTTCAACATCAACGGTGAGCCTGGACACATCCTGCGCCTGGTGTCTGACCACAAGCACTCTGGTAAGACTCTTCAGGAAAGTAAAGGGCACTAACACTCTTATTCACATCAGGATCTTCGTCATTAACACTGTGTGGCTCATTTATGTTTGTGTCTGCAGGTTTGACAGTGAATGGTAAACTAATCGGCGCCCCAGCTCCGCCAGGCAGCCACAAGCAGCTGCGTACCTACTTCAGCACCATCACCATCGTGGTGGATCGTCCCAAACGCGCCTACATCGAGGTGACGCCTAAGAAAGTCATCCTGGATGGGCGGGACAGGATGGTGCTGCCCTGTCACTCCACAGTTGCAGTGGACAGCGGCGCTCTGTCAGTTTCCATTGTGGGGAAGTCTAATGTGACTGTGACGGTCGGAGGAAACATCATGTTTGTGATCCTGCTGCATCAGTACAAGAATCCAGCTCCCTACCAGAGAGACCATCTGGGGTTCTACATTGGTGACAGCAAGGGGCTGTCGCACAACTGCCACGGCCTGCTGGGTACATGTTAACGAAAAATACACATTACATCACACAATATGATAGTGTCAGACTGAACAAACTGCAACTTTTAGGGACCTGTCGCTGTTTCTCCTGTTTCTTTATCCCCCAAACGTGGGTGTCTTTTAGTGATCTGTCATTTTTTTTCTGCTGATTTTTAAGTCCCGAAATATGATTGTTTTTAGGGACCTGTTGCTTTTATTTCTTGCAGCTTTTTAGCTCCCAAACGGAGGTGTTGTTTTCCGAGACCTGTCTTTTTTTTCCCCATGGCTTTTTCACCCCAAATGTGGATGTTTTATGGGGACATGTCACTGTTTTTCCTGAGGCTTTTAGCCCCCAAACATGAGTGTTTCTTTAGGGATCTGTAGCTGTTTTTCCTGAGGCTTTTTGGCCCCTAAATGTGGGTGTTTCTAGGGATCTGTAGCTGTTTTTCCTATGTCTTTTTGGCCCCTAAAGGTGGGTGTTTTTAGGGATCTGTAGCTTTTTTTCCTGTGTCTTTTTGGCCCCTCAATGTGGATGTATTTAGGGATCTGTAGCTGTTTTTCCTGCAGCTTTTTGGCCCCTAAACGTAGATTTGTTTAGGGATCTGTAGCTATTTTTCCTGCAGCTTTCTGGCCCCTAAACATGGATGTTTTTAGGGATCTGTAGCTGTTTTTCCTGTGACTTTTAAGCTCCCTGGCACTTTCTTTTCCTGCAGCTTTTTTAGCCCGCAAAACGTGGGTGTTTTGGAGGGACCCATTGCAGTTTTTCCTGCAGCTTTTTAGCCCCAAATGTGGGTGTTTTTTAGCAACTTGCTGGGATAGTGCCACAAGACGGGATTACCTAGAGATGGCTACTTTTCCAGCAGCTACTGTGTCCCCCAACACCGGTTATTTTAAGCCAAAACATAATCTTGTCCTGACCATAACCAAGTGTTTTGTTTTTGAAGATATTTTTTGGGGCATTTTGCCTTTAACTGATAGGACAGTGAAGTGTGAAAGGGGGGGGGAGAGAGAGAGAGAGAGTGACATGCAGCAAAGGGCCACAGGCTGGAGTTGAACCCGGGCCGCTGCGGCAACAGCCTTGTATATGGGGCACCTGCTCTATCCACTAAGCCACCGACGCTGTTAAGCAAGGCGTTGTTAAAAAGTTTTTAAAGATGTACTACTACCAAAATTTTGTCAGGCAGCTGTGTTGGCTACAAATATGTTTAGAATCAAAAACAGAGAGCTTATAGTGTTAAATTGTGCTGGAGTTCTATTAGTTTTGGTTTAACGATTGCAGTTGTGTTTGAGTGCATGTGTGAAGGAGTGTTATGTATCTGTGAACATCCTGTGGGGCACACGCGAGTATATAACAAGACAGGGAGGGTGGGAAAGTGCTGTGCAGCGGTGGGAAGAGGTTAACAGTATTGATCATAAACATGTTAAGGTATTAAGTGATGGTAATGTATGTGCCGTTATAAATGGAACTTTGAGAGAGAGAGAAAAAGTAATCTGTTAGTAAAGTAGACTTTTAAATAGTCAATCAATGTAAGAATAAAAAAAAGCTATTCATGAAAAAAAAAGAAAAGAAAAATGAGGCCAGTCTGAATTTCCAGCTAAATTAAACCAAAAGGTTTTGTCCCGTGTGGAGCATGAGGTTTCATGGAAATCTATTAAGTGAGGATGGAGTCAGAGAAAAGGTCACATCGGATTATTATTACTGAGATCACTGCACTTGTGATACAATTTGCAAAAGACGGCCAAAAAGAAACAAAGACGGAGTAAAGAAGCACATTTAGGTTGTATTTGAGAACGCCAGGGTTTTGGTCAGTAGGTCAATTTGCTCAGATGAAGATTCAGTGACTAAAAACTACAGTGTTATCCTTAAAGACGAAAGATGAAGCAAGATAATATTAGTAAGATTTATTTTGTTTCTATTGACTTTGAATGAAGAGTGTGTTACGATGATAAAAGTACCGTTTATTTAAATGGAGTCTGGTGGGTCTGACGATAGTGATTTGGGGACTGTTTCTACTTAAACAAAAAGGATCTTACTCTTTAACAAAAAGGTCTATCTCTGTAGGGATCCTTTCCATAATGTTTTGAGCCTATCAGTGATGAAAACAAACACTTTTAGTGGACGGAAATTGACAAATATACCCTGAGTGGTTACATTGCAGCCTGCTTCATAGCTGCTAGCCACAGTGCTCTCACTCAATACTGGAACAATTTCAAAAGTTGCTGATGTCATTAGACACTTAAACACAAAGCATGGGAACATGGGGCCCTGGTTGAAAAATACCAAAGTTACCCTTTGACATCAAAACAACATAAAGACATACTGGCAGGCCTTCAAAGACTCACATCAGTCGAATTCTAAAATAACTCGGATACATTTCTACTTTCAGGTCAGTTCCTGTATGAGGAAGTGGGATTGGCAGAGCTTCCTGCACAAGCAGACATGAAACCTTTGCCCGCGCTCAAGGTGAAGGACCGCTTGGTGCCAGTGGTTCAGAAGAGCAGGAAGATCTACAGTGGGACTCAGAGCGTGGACTGCTGGTTCGCCCGCAACAACGCAGCCAAGCTGATAGACGGGCAGTACGAGGACTATTTGATGTCGCACATGTTCGACACGGAGGAATGGCCACACGGGACCAACAGTGTGTGATAGCACGAACTGTAGCTGCAGCATTTGTGTGATTTAAATCTTAACTCATTTTACTCTGTATCCGTTTCACATTCCAGCAGATTCCAAACATTCCCAAACGCCCAACCTTCACATTCCAGTTTTACTTCGGTCTCTTTTGAATATATTTTTTTACCATTTCTAATGAAAATTAAAAGTTTTATTGTATTATGTGTATTGTTTTTTACAATAATTTTGTAATTGTAAATAAAGACTTAAACACACACTTTGAGGTTGTTTTCTGAGACACGAAAACACACAACAAATATGAATGTCAGCATGTCTTAAACTGTGGCGACCTCAAGCTGAAGATCACACCTGGTTACCACGGAGACCAAAACCGGTAACCAACCCCCTTGTCCCAGCGCCAATGACTACATGCACACCTAACACACACATACAGACACACAGACACACACTGCTCCACAGTCCTCCCTGTCATCAGCCGGAGGTCACAGGGCTGCTGGCCCCGCCCACACAGGTGTGCTCTGGCCTGGTCCCCGCTCAGGCTGTCTGTTATCACGCTGCCTCGCCCCGGCCGCCGCAGGAATTCAAAACCAAACACCAGTTCATGTGTCAATCATCTTTATTCATAGCACAGATTAAAGAGATACATTCGGTAAGAAGCACCGCAGCACTTTACGGCCTGTCGATGACAGGGTGTGTGTGCCAGTTTATCCACATGTTCATAATCAGGTTTATAAAAAAAACATACACAAGGTACATCGGAATACAAAATAAAACATTACACATGGAATACGTCAAACTGGAGACCTTTAGGCGTTTAAACCATAAAATAAAAGGAGTTTACCGCCTGTAGTTTGGAGATGACGTTTAAAATTCTCCTGTTTTCTCTCTTCACTACAAACTTCCTGTTCCCCTGTTGATACCACAGATTGGACCACAATATATAAAGTCAAATATATAAAATATAAACAGAATAAATAAAAAATGTGCCATAGCTTGTCATAAAGTTTAATACACAGCTACCAAAACAGTAATTGGGCCATTGTTAGGAGGAAAAATAGGAGATTTACAGAAGTCAGAATATTTTGAAATAAAAAAAAAGATGGAGTGTAATGAAAGAGAAGTTGCAAGTTCGAGAAAAAAAGATAAAAGAAGAAGAAAGTAGTAACAAGAATTATGACGTGATATTTCATAGAAAGGGTTGTTTTATTTTGAAAAATATCACTACCAGAGAGTCCGTTCTTATCACATTTTTAAATTAAGATTTTAAAGAGGAATAGTTTTTCTGAAATACGCCAAGTCGAAGATCGTTACCACTCCGACATTTGTCTATTGAATATGAAGTTACAGCTGGGCCTGTCATGATAACTACTTTTGTCAGATGACATATTGTAACAAAAATAACCAAAAAGCAATGGAATAAAAACTGTAAGAATACTCAGATATTGGAAAATTGGAATGTAAAAAATAAAAAAATAAAATATCCTAAATAAATGAAACGTAAATAAATGTTAGGTGCCCGATTCTTAAAATGGTCGAGACAACCCTGCTGGAAACAAATATATAACGCGTATAACCACAAAGGAAATACCATACGATATAAAGACCTTGATAATTTTTGCTGACTCAATACTGTAATTATCATGACAGACCTAGTAATAACCAGAAGCTTGTTAGCTTAGCATAGCACAAATGCAGGAAACAGGGTGACACAGCTAGCCTGTAAAAGTCACTGCTCCCCCCCCAAAAAAAAACCTCCCTATAAAAACCCTTGTGAAACCAGTGTTGTTTTTACACATCAGATTTTGTACAATTAAAAAACACGGCATGTTGATTTGTGAGCTTTAGAGACGCCGTTAGGTGGATTTTGTGACCTTTGGAAGGAGCCAGGTTTCCCCGTTCCCAGTCTTTATGCTAAGCTAAGCTAACCAGCTGCTGACTGTAGCTTCAAAGTTGAAATATTTGGTGTACAGACATGAGAGTGGTACAGAAAATCAAACCTGTTCGGAAAATTTAAATGACGGATGGATGTTTCAGACTCAGTGTGCAAACGCGATTGACACGTGAGGTTGTGTGTGGTTTTTTTTGTTTTTTTTTTAAACTAACGACAATTCTGGATGGGGAAAAAAACGGACTCCCCCTGGGATATTCTGGCTTCATTTTTGTACATTTGGAGGAATTGGAGACTCCTCTTCAATTTTATACAGTCTGTGATACTGACAGTTATTTTAGAATAAGTCAGACTTGTTTTCTTCTAAAATATCAAGACATCTGTCTCAAGAAATTATGACTTTTTTCTTGTAAATCTTTCCCTTAAAACTGAGGATTTTTTCTCATAACATTTACAACTTTTTCTCAAATATATTCTGACAATATTCTAAAAATCTCATATATTTCTCCCAACAGTGGCCCCAGTACTCCATCACATACAACAAATAGCATGGCCTTAAAGAATTTCCTGCCCACATACACATTTTGTTAAAAGCAACCAGTTGCAAAGAACAAAAACCTTTCCATATTACCGCAACATGTTTGGTGCGTCATGACTGCAGCAGCCAAAAATGTTAAAAACATGTGCGTGGTTTAAAGAAATAAAACCCTCCTTTAAAATGAAAGCAAGGAGCCAGAGGGAGAGCATGGTAGAATGACTATAATTACACATTAATTAAAAAGGTGGATTTAAAGCGGTTATATTCGACGGAGTAAAATCTTAGAGCACCTATATAGATCTATATACTTCACTTGCCCCTCTTTGGAATATGATACACGATAAATGACTCTCTTTAGAGCAACATCATTTCCAAAAGTCCCCAGTGTGGAGACTGATTTATCTCAGCCTTTGTCATTACCACCCGTACATTTTGCCCAACAGGCGCTGCCCTCCTTAATAATCTCTCTCCACACACGTTCAGTTGTGGTTACTCTGATGTGCTCTTGCAGATAACAGAGGCAGCAAGGTGAGAGGATAATTCCCAAAATGCTATTGGATTTACATGCATACACAGAGTCAAGCTCCGGTTCAGTGCAGAGGAAGGCAGCTGAGGCTGTAGTGTTCACATTCACAGGTTATATGACCTTTAATTGTGCCTTTGCTTACATAGAAGCTGATTAGTTAGACCTCTGACGAGTTAAAGATGCAAGTTTTTGTGTGTGTTTGCTCATATTTAGGCTCTTTAAGAGTGTTTTGTGTGGACAGAGGATGGACGGCTAGGAAGAAGCATCACCTGGGTTTATACCACCACCCAGCTGGGCCTCAGTGGTCCTCCAGAGTACTGTACATGAGGCACTGGTTCACTGTCGCCTGGGTCTTCCTCCCCCTCTGAAGCCTCGTCGGTGTCCGTCTCGACAGTCAGTAGAACCTGAGAGAAGACAAGAGATGATGATGAATTAGAGCTGAGTGATATGGCCTATATATATCACGATATTTATCTCGATATTTTGAAATCTCCACTAAATTGCTGGACACTGTACTGTACTTGTTGAAAGTACTGTTATAATAAAGTTAAACAAAAGTACAGTTATGATAAAGTTAAATAAAGTACTGTTATAATAAAGCTAAATAAAGTAGTTATAATAAAGTTGAATAAAGTACAGTTATAATAAACTTTAATAAATTGCTGTTATAATAAAGTTAAATAAAGTACTGTTATAATAAAGTTTCATACAGTGCTGTTATAATAAAGTTAAATAAAGTACTGTTATAATAAAGTTTAATAAAGTGCTGTTCTAATAAAATTAAATAAAGTACTGTTACATAAAGTTAAATTAAGTACAGTTATGATAAAGTTACATAAAGTGCTGCTACAATAAAGTTAAATAAAGTACAGTTATGATAAAGTTACATAAAGTGCTGCTACAATAAAGTTAAATTAAGTACAGTTATGATAAAGTTACATAAAGTGCTGCTACAATAAAGTTAAATAAAGTACTGTTATGATAAAGTTAAATAAAGTACTGTTATGATAACGTTAAATAAAGTACAGTTATAATAAAGTTCAATGAGGTTAAATTAAGTAAAGTTAAAATAAAGTTAAATAAAGTGCTGTCAAAATTAAGTTTAATAAAGTACAGTTCTAATGAGGTTAAATTAAGTAAAGTTAAAATAAAGTTAAATAAAGTACTGTTATAATGAAGTTAAATAAAGTACAGTTATGATAAAGTTAAACAAAGTACTGTTATAATAAAGTTAAATGCACCTGGGGGCTTTTACATTCTAAAAGCTTTATTTTACATATACATTTGTACTTGTAGGGCTATAAGTTTACGTCTTTAGTTCACAGAAGCTGGTTATTGTTGTGTTTATGTCAAAATAATGTTTCTCAAACATTTTCACATCTTTGATTTTGTGATTTACATGCCAAAATGATCACAGTTCATTTGGGAAAGACAAGTTCATTTTACAGGCTATACATCATCAGCCCATGGAGGTCTGCTCGCAGTTGCGTCTATTCGGACATTGGACCTCCCGGATTATGATGATCATTAACTGCGATTAGATCGTTCTGATTAATGACTGACCATTAAGAAGTGTTTCTGATAAATATTTAAATGTGCACAATAATAACCTTTCACATTGTAATCATATTTTTATTTGTTATCTTTTGCGTATGTGTGGCTGCTCCGTGTGTGTCGGAGCAGAGTGCACGCGCGTTGTGCACCCGCCTAGAGACACATATTACTAACTTGTTTAACAACGAAATACTGCGCCGTTGACTTTAGACCAGGTTTTTGTTGGTCACTGGCGCATTTGCTTTTTATGTCATCTAACTAGCAACGCACCATGACTGCGCCTGACCACTCCTCATTTTTAGACCAACACACCCAGAGAAGCGCAAGTTCATGTGCTAGTTAGACGAAGAGGGTGCAGGGCGTGAAAATGACAACTGCGCCTGCGCTTTAGACCATCTAAATAGGGCCCTTTCACCCAGGGGAGAACGGTTGGATATGTGTGTGCGTGTGTGTGTGTGCGTGCGTGTGCGTGTGTGTGTGTGACGTAACATGTTTTTTCCAGTGTCTTGAAAAATGACAATTTATACTTATATAATATATACATATATACTTATATATATATATATATATATATATATATATATACACATGTGATGAGTGCAGGCCACAGTAGCACAGCACAAAGTACAGTCAGGCACCAATCTGCTGTTTTGTTTGGATTCTGCATCCTCAACGAAAAGCTGGGAAATATGTCAGCTCTGCATTCCCAGCCTAAAGTGGAAAATATCCCTGTTCATTCTCAGCCTGGAAGACGCTCTCCAGCAGCAGCAGCAGCAGCAGCAGCAGCAGCAGCAGCAGCACAGATTCAAATCCCAATGGAGCAAAATTCCAAAACCATAAGACATTTACAGCATCTTAAACCTCCACATGTTGCTTTATGTTCTGGTTTGACATGTGATAAAGCTGACATAAAGACCACTTTGAAGAGCAGATTCAGATATCAGGATAAAGACAGGAAGTACATCACTGTTATTTTTTGTTGCTAATACCAGGGGCTGACTGTCTCCACTATAACCTTGATGTCACAGCGCCAACGCCAGCCACAACAACAGCACTGTGACTATAGTTGCGACCACCACCCCCACCAAGACCTCATCCAAGTCAATGCCTCTCTATCTGTCGTCCTCCTCCACTTCACTCCGCTTTCCATAACATCAGCGCGTGGAAACGACTCCTAAATGTCACTTTTATTCCCGGGAATGAAGGCTTGATTTATGGCTGCCTGGCACAGGACCAAGGACAAAGGCAAGAGAAGGAAGGGATAAACACTCTCATCCCACTGAACACGAGGGTCATGAACCCCAGCAGTCATTTTCCCTGATGTCTGTCAGTTAAATCTTTCCTGAGAAAGAAGGAAAATAACTGACATGGGTCTCTTTCTGTGATGTATGAAGGAGGCAGCTATTAAAGTGATTTCCAGAACACAACAACAAGCCTGTTTTTCACCATCAGATAAACCAGCACTCGACCTAGAACTCACAGGGTCAGATTAAAAAGTCTGATCATGAGTGGTGTATACCACGCAACTGCAATGTCACCAGTTTGAGTCCACCCAGGGACTTTTGTTCATCACCATCTGGTACGCTGCTGCTGCTGCCAAGGACAACAGCAGAGCGCAGCGTATCATTTGCGCTGCAAAGAAGGTGATTGACTGCGATGTACTGCAACAAATTTTTTGTCACTCTCGACTAGCAGAAGGCTGAGGTCCATCAAAACCTCACGCCACACAGACCTAGTTAGCAGCGCTGCTCATTGGACGATTACAGCTAGTAACACGGCATTTCTGCAGAAACACATTGGTCACCTCTCTAGTTTCCACCCAGATCGCCCAGGTGAGCAAGCAGCTTCATTTTTTAGCCACAAAATCCCTTGAGCATTGTTAACAATGTTAGCACCACTAGCTGTGCCGACACTGCTAACAATAGGCCCTTTTACACTGCCAGATTTTCGGTGAATGTTGGGCCGTTTTGCCGGCAAGCTGCGAGTGTTTAGACACAGAGCCGGATTGACGAGTTGACCCGAGGTGCTCGCAGGGTAGTCATATTGGCGGAAGCTTTTTGGTTTAAAAAGAACAAGGTGGCCTTCCACAACAGGAGGGGCTGTTGAAGACTTGTGGGAGGAGCTGTTGATGACGCCGCACGTGCGACCCACTGGCGGGGATAAACAGGAAACAGCTGATAGCAGGAATTAGCGAGCAGCTAGTAGCAAGAGGGAAACACAAACCTGACAGACACTGTAAAGATGAGCAACAGGGGAGACAAGGAATTGCGCACCCTCCTTGTCCTCGCAAACAAAGAGGCCATTAACCGTCAGATGACGGGGACGGTGAAGAACGGGCCGACTTACGAGAGAATCACCGAAGGACTGACCAGCCGCTGCTTCCCTCCCAAGTCACTGTTTACGTCACAAGCTGAGCTACACGTTTTGTTACTTGCTCACGCCGCCCATTGCCCCGAAAAAGGCACATTCTGTATAAACAAAAGTAGGTAGGCGGCATTTTGCTGCACTCCCCGATTTTGCTTTTATACTGCCAATGCTGAAAGAAGACTGATTGGGCTTTCCTGCAAATTTGCACAATTCCTGTTTAAAAAGGGCTAGTAGTTAAAAATGCTAAAGGGATTTTGCAGCTGATAACTGAGCCGCTTACTCACTGGGGCCATCTGGGAGGAAACCAGAGGGCGGTCTTTCATGTTTTCACAGCAACACGGAACAGACCTGTTAAGCAACCTTGAGAAGGAGCATTTCTGTTAACAACAAATGCACGAATGAGTGACAGGAAGTGGCATCGCCGGACAAGACAAACAACGAAACGGGAAGAGAGCGCGACCAACGGCAAACAGCAGGAAGCATGGCCCGGGGGAGTCCTCCAGGTTGGGCTCAAGTACTTCTAAAGCAGTTTGCTGATATTAAAGAATCATTTGAACAAAGGTTTGATGCACTGAACGAAAGATTGAAATCTCTGAAAAAAGAATTTGCCTTTTGAAATGCATCTGCAGGACAAACACCGCTCAAAAACTTCACCAAAGCACAACACAGGCTCTTATTTTTGTCCAAAACCTGGGCTTCTGCAAGGACTTTTTGTTGCCATGATAATGATATAATGAGATACTATCTTAAGGCAGGAAAAAGAATCTTGAGAGAATTAAAAAATTTTGCATTTTATTCTGAGGGTGAAATAAACCCTCCACAGTAAACCAGAATCCACCAATTCAACAACGGAGGAGAGTGAGAACAGTCTGACTCAGTGTTTCTTGGACCGAACTCATCTGGGTTCATTCCTCCTTAGATCAAGTGCAGAGAGAGAAAATGTGTGTGGTTAGTGGGTGTGTGTGTGTGTGTGTGTGTGTGTGTGTGTGTGTGTGTGTGTGTGTTTCTGCGCCGTGCTCATCCCACCAAAACAACAGGTGCAGTTGACACCCAGCGTGACCGTGTGGGTACAGCAACCATTAACCATCAACGCCCATTTTCACACACACATTAAAGTCTTAAAGATATTAAGCTGTCACATTCCTGTTTGGGAACGAGCTTCAGAAAACTTTTTTGTACCATCAAAAGTAATCCCTTTAAAAGGCCGGTGAGTCACTTCCACAGCAGATGGGTCTGTTTGATTTCTCTAAGTGGGTCGTTAACAGGCATTTGACTTATTTTGAGGTTATTTCGACTATTTTATTAAAACTCTTAGACATTAAATGCTAACTGGAATTTATAAGACTCAACAATGAAAACGCGGGAACAAAAAAGTTTGGTTACATGTTTTGGACGTGAGAAACTTTTGCTTTGGAACAAAGTCACGATGTTTGTATCATTCCTAATTTCCGATCTAATGAACCTGAACAGAGAAAATATCCAGAACGCAGCAGGTGCTTTCATTACGTCAGCGACTAAAAACAACAACCAGCTGTTAACCAGAGCTTCACACTGTTCTGATCTGTTGGTGGTCTCATTAAAGCCTCAGTTATTCTCACCCGTGACTCCTCACTGTTCACCCAGGGCAGGGAGTCGGCCTTCTTCACGGAGCTGTCGCAGGAGTCGTCCAGGCTCTTCATCGTCTTGTACTTCCTCATCGTCAGGCTGTCCACCACCCAGAACATGATGGACTGCAGGAGGAGCCAGAGAGACAAGACTAAGGTTACTAAAGCTGCAGGGATGAACTTTAGTCTTATTAGAAGACCATAACAAGTAGGGCTGTAGTCTCCTGGTCGATTATTTGGTCGCTATGCTCTCGTCTGAACAAATTCTCATTGGTCGAATAATTGCCGTGTTGCTTTCATAAGGAGAAAAGTGCTACATCAACAGTTTTCCAGGATTAATCCATTACTTCCTGCTGTGGGGGGACAGGCTAAGTTACCTGTGAAAACGGAGGTGTTTTGAAAACACCCCCGTTGTTTACGCTACGTTAAACCTTCCCACCCTCTCAGCGTCACGGTGACGCAGACCTCCTCTCTGTAAGCTGAAACCATTTCCCTCAGTGGAAACAAAGCTTGTATTTAGCTAGGCTAATTTATACAATGCAAAACGCCATAAGCTGGCGCTAATAACGTTAGCATGTTGTATTTGTTTGGAAAACGTGTTTAGTATAAGACAGTTGTTCTGTCTGTGAATCTTGTGACTTGTAATGGAGCCACATTGAGTGCCCTTACCTTTGTTAAATGTTGCTGTTGTCCCTGGCTTTATATGAGAAGAGGGAAATATCGCCAGTAGCTAGGCCAATTTACAAAAAAATGAAAATAAAAAATAAAATGCCATAGGCTTGGGCTAATAACGTTAGCATCCAGTTAAAGACAAGTGTTTGTCTGTGAATGCTGCGAGTTATAGTGAAGCTGATTTGTGTACTTGTGTTTGACATTGTCTCTATTAAGCCATGTTTAATGTGTGTTTAATGTGTGTTTTGAATCAGCTAAACTTTACAGCACTTCACACAGTCCTTCACTGCCGACTAGTGTTTTGGAGGTGTAACTGCAGAGTGACACAGACACACCACCGCAGAAGTAAAAATAATGTGCAGATTTTTTTTTTTCCCACGACTAATCGATTAGTTGAAGATTATGTAACATTTCAGTCGACCAAGATTTTCTTAGGTTGACTACAGCCCTAGTAACAATACACTGTGAGGTAATGGGACAGCTAGCTTAAGGAAGCGATCCTCACGTTCACTATGAAGGGCACAATGAGCATGACCAGCACCAGCTCCAGCTGAGGGTTAGCAATGTAGCTCAGCAACACCTCCTGCAACTGGAAGAGAAGAGGGGGAGGTTTAAGATCAGGCTGGTCAATCACATACATACAAATTATGTATGTTTTACTGTAATTTAGGATGATATCGCAATAATATAAATGATAAATCTGAATGAAATGGGTCATAACAGTGTAAAACAAACACAAATTGGAGAGACGAGACGTGACTCCCAACTATCCCGCACCAGAACAAAGTACGCTAATAATAATAATAATAATAATAAGACTAACATTTATAATCAGCGTTTGTCACAGAGCACGGAGATGATCTTTAAACAAAGGAAGCAGGGTCTCAAAACAACACAGAGCTTTACACAATTAAACTCTCATCGTGATATAAATAAATAAGAAATAAACAAATAGCTGGCCCTTTTATTTCTGAGAAGGCCATCAGTTGCTATGGCAAAGGCTAATTTGAATAAACAAATATGATCTCCAAAGTCATGCAAACAAATTGTCCTTTAAATACATTAACACTGACTCTATGTTTCCTTTAGAATCAAAAAGCAACTCGTTTTTATCCCCTGCTTGTTTATTCTGTCTCTAGTCTTGACAGCTTTCATCTCTAAATGTTTCAGAGGATTTCAAACAAAAGAGAAAATAGAAAGGAGAGAAGATTGTTGAAATCTGCAGATCTTTCTCACATAGTCTTGGTGACCTGGCCAAGATCGATTCGGGATGTTAGTCACAGTAACAGGAGTGCAAACCTGTTTTCAGTTGAAGTAAAGTGGGCTCATTTGTTCATGAACTGACCACGTTAAATCAAATCCAGTCACAGTCTCGGATGCTGTTCAGATTCTACCATTTCCTCCTGTGCGTTTGGCAGAAAATCTACAAGACTCTTCCTCATGCCAGATGTATCATAATGCCACAGGACCCCATGTTTCCCACAGGACCTGAACGCAGCACAAGTAGCTGTATGTGCTTCTTACTTTGGACCATCCGGGGACGAGCAGCACCAGGCTGATGACACCTTTCTCCAGCACCATGATGAGCAGGTAGACGCCACACTGACCGAGCCATGCTGCTGCCTGAGGAGGGTCACCTGGAGGAGAGAGGTCAACAAACATCTGTGAAATGACTAAACACTTCACTATAGAAGATTTCAAGCACAGCCAGTCTTCACGTTCAGGTCTTAAGCAAAAGCAGGTCTTTTAACATATGAAATCATTTATTATGCTCCAAATGTAAAGACTGTATACAGTATTTTAGTTTATAGTATTTCTTTTGGCCCACCATTTTTTGATTTCATTTCAGAAATTCTGATGATTTTTTTTAAATTATCATTATTTGAATTTAATTGATTATTGATTATTATTTTTCATTTTCTTCTATTATTTATTTTGGCCCACCAGATTTTTTTTTTAAATTTTCATTTTATTTGAGGAAAAAAAATATATCATTTTATTTTAATATTATTAATTTTGACCCATCAGATTTTTATTTTATTTATCAATTTTGATGAAAACACAAAGTTATTTATTATTTTTATTTTATTATATGTTTTGACCCACCATTTAAAAAAATCATTTTATCTGTTCTGATGAAAATTTATTTAGCAATTATTTTAGAAGTATCTATTTTAACCCAGCAGATTTTCTTAAA